TGAACAACGTTCTACCCGACCTGTTCCATTAAAACGAAACTAAGAAGCAGCTAAGAATTAATGGAGCAGCTAGGGTATGAGCATTGTTCTTTCATTGCATGAGCCCTGCGTGAGACCTTTGATACTTGCTTTGGTATCGTTATTGACATGCTCAGGAATCCATAGTTGCCTTAACGCTCTCCCTCTCCCTCCTTTCACGGAGCGACCGCGGGCCCGGCATGAAAAGGACAAAACAATCAATCAAACAAACAGCAAGTGCTGTGAGTGGCACCAAGCAGGTTGAACGTGACCAGCTCCCTCCCCGGTTTACTTCTTCGTTCTCTGGTAACGTTCCGGCATCGTCTCGGCAGGTATATGCAGCGAACAAGCTTCCTCCCCATTTTATTCCTTTTCCCTCCACAACGCTCTGGGGTCGTCGGCAAGACCCTGAGTGACACCAAATAAAATGCAGCGAACAAGCTTCCTCCCCGCATTGTCCGTTGTCCTCCATAACATTTCTGGTGTCGGCAAGACTGTCAGTGGCACCGAGCGAGTTGCTGCAGCCCAGCTTCCTCCCCGCTCTATCCTCAATAAGATCCTGGCGTCGTCGGCTGGACTGTGCGCGACACCAAACACGGTTTGCGGCGAACCAGCTTCCTCCCCTTGTCCTCCGTAACATTCCTCGACCGGACTGTAAGTGACACCGAAGCAAGTTGCTGTACACCAGCTCTCTCCCTGTTGTACTTCCTCGTTCTCCTGTGGCGTTGTCCGCAGGACTGTGAGTGGCACAAGTAAAATTCGCAGCGAACCAGCTTCCCCCCTGTTATCCTCCGTAACATTCTAGTGCAGCGCGGCTGTGCGTGACACCAGGCAAGCTGCAGCAGACCAGCTCCATCCCCGACTCATTCCTTTGTCCTCCGTTGCCGCCGTCGGCGGGACGGGTATCTCGAAGCGGGCACCAGCATGAAGCGGGCACCAGCATAAAACCCCAAGGCCCTAGGAGTGGTGTGCGAGATCAAGAACATGCTTCCGAACTGGTACTCGCCATATACTACAACACAACATGCAACAGGGGCTGCTGTCAAAGGGGGGGAGGAACCTTCCGTACATCAATGGACCGGGCCGGGCGCATACGTCTTGACAAACAGCGTGGCATGCCTTGCGGAACAACCAGCCGCCGCCGCCGCCGCTTGCACAAGACTGACGTCACCCCTCGGGAAAAAAACACTTGTCCTTCGAGATTATTCTGCATCAGTGGCGCCTCTTCGTACCTCGGGTGACGTTTTCACAACACGTGTTGGAGATTCAGAAAAATCAAATTCCCCAACAACACGCACGGATGAATTGAGCGTAAGGCCAACGTCGTTGAGGCGATGTGTGATATACTATAAAATTAGTTATAGCATACGAAACATGAACAGCAGTCGTCCCTTTTCATTTGTTTTACCTTTCCGCATTGTGAGCGGTCCCGATCAGGACGGCGGGCGTTGTGCTGTTGTTCCTGTCGTTAAAGCCCGCGTTATGCGCCATGGTGGGGATGTAAACGATGGCGCAAAACATGATGACCTTGGCGGCGAAACAAGCAACAAGATGGAGGGGAAGGGGGGCCGGGCAGCGGAAAAAACGACCGCGGGAGGGGGGGGGGGGGGGGGGGGGGGGGGAAAACCCCACCCACAACCCCCACCAAAGGTTTCGGGCCGTGGACCCCCCGGGGGTGGCAGGGGAAAGAATCTTGGAAGAATTTTCCCCGAAGCCCCCCCAATTTGGGGCCCCAGCGAAAAAAATACCCCAACCAACCCCCCCCGGGGAAAAAATTTCCAACCCGGGCAAAAAGGGGTCACCCAAACCTTTTGGGGGGCCCCATCCTTTTAAAACCGGGCCCCCAAAGGAAAAATTTTTTTTGGGGTTGCCCCCGGCGGGGGCCCCCGCCCCCACCCCCAAAAGGACCGGGGGAACAGGCGAATTTTCCCCGGAA